TCAGATTGCAAGTACTATCAACTTCTTTTATAAAGAGTCATTTTCTTATACCAGGAATGGATTGCAATGAAGAATATTGTTTCTGGTGACTGAAATGGTGTCTGCGTAGATTTCTCCCGTTCCTGGTTTCGTGCGACAACGTTGTGCAACTACTTATTATATAGTCATTAGCCTAGACATCATGTATCACAGGTACAGTCCCGAACATTTGTATTTATTTTTCGCATGCATTAATAAACAATTTTCTTGGCAAAGTTTGGTGAACTCGGTTCGTACAAAAACATATTTTTTATTTTGAATGCTTGTAAACATTGTATTAGTTATATATAGACCATGTCATCCGAGCTTGAATTATTGATACAGCACATCACTGAACTTGAGGCTGAGAATACAGAGCTTAGGAAGGAGAATACTGAGATCCCCTATCTCAGAAACAAGCTCTCAGTGTCTAATGCTGAAATAGCTGAACTTAAGCACAGGAATGCTGAGGTTCTAAGAGCGAATGGGGAATATAATGAGATGCGTGATGTTGAAAAAGTCAAACTCAGGCAAGAATCGAGGAGTTGGAATTTAAGTTTAGAGATAGAATTACGAAAGTGAAACAGAAGCAGACTCTAAATGAGCTGAGAGGCATTTTGCATAATTTTTCTAACTTCAGTTTATCTAACTTTAATTTAGTTGCAGATCAAGCTAACTCCTATTATTAGAAACCATTAGTGAATAGAAAAATGGATATTTCATTATCTGAAAAATTTGATTTCAGTGGTGATTGCAAAGCAATTAGTATCAACTGTTAATATATTTGTTATGGATCAATGTGATTAGATGTCCTTAGAAGATAATGAAATGAATGTTTTCTTGAATAAAGTGCATAAGAAAAAAAATTAGTAATGAGATTAAACAACACAATAAAGAGAAGAAACTTCTTTCAATAGGGTTTCAAAGGAACCAGAGGCCTTAAATTCTTGATTTAACTATTTAGCTATGCAATAGTGCATTATTAGAAGCATCAGTTAACTCAGATGATAGGAAAGTACCTTTAAAAAAGAAGATAGGTAGTGAATAAGATTTAATTGATGATCTGCGAATAAATGGGAATTTACAATTAGTATCAAATCTGGGTCGATCATCAATAAACTAACCAAACTCGTAAAATTCTTTACATAGCATACATACTATAAATAATAGAAAATTAGCCAATTAAATTGTTCAAATCTTACAAAAATAACTCAAGAATTACCCATTTTATCATGAAAGCAAAAATAGTTTTTTTTTAAAAACTTTGAAACATCAGGAATGCTGATTTCGGTACCCTTCTTAATTATAAAATTAATACTTAGAATTGAATTTCAAGAATTTTTTAGTGCTATTTACTATTATATTGCAAAATTCTTTTTATTGACTATATAAGTCATATTTTGTTTAGCAAAAAAAACATAGCTTGGACTCGTATAAATACCAAGCTACTGTACAAAGTATAGGTATTACAGTGAAATCTCTATAAGTGTATACTTTTTTAATGATATGCACTTAGAAAACAATAAGTAAAAATGCATTTATGGAGGTTATATATATATATTTGGGCTCGAAGATGAATGTGCATTTAGAGAAGGTGCGTACTTACAGAGGGTACACCCACGAATGTTTTACTAAATATATATATCACTAATACCCTACTCTATATTTATATACCTATTATAATCTATATCTAAATATTTAACACTAAGGATTAATTTCATATTTAACTATGGTTATATCTTTTATACGGTTCTATTTTGTAATTTACATTGATTTGTCTTTGGGATAGATTATATAAAACCAGATTGTTGGTTAAAGATTTGGTTTCAGATTTGTTCAGTAATCTAAAATAGTCATAACTAGAAACTTTAGATATTGGCATAAGATGTATTATATTATAATGAAATATTGCATTTTACAAACAGAAATGTAAGTAAGTGATATGGTTTAGGATTACTATAGTGTTTATTATCAGGTTGATTTTAAGTAAGAGTGTTTTTAGATAAACACTTTGATTATAAGAAATAATACTATAAGACAAAATGATGAGTACTGGAATTTAATAATGAGAAGTTTTTTGAAAATTATTATTATTTTTTTTTATTTTTTTTTATAGCTAATAGCATAATTGATTATTTACCATTACAATTTATCTAGACAAAATACTGAATAAGATTACTTTATCGACTATAATTACAGTACAATAAGATCATACAGCTCTTGCTATAACCATATCTTCTGTAATCATAACATCAAGACTTGGTTTGACTTGAGTAATTTAGTGGATCCAAGTTTACATAGAGTTTCAGTTTTGTTGATATTTTTATAATCATATGTTTTATGAAACAAGTGCCTGATTTAATTTTAAGTGTTTTATTAATTCTTAGATTTGATTTTATTGATGGCTATTTTTTTTGTTATAATTGAATTGTTGGGCTTTACTAATGCTAGAAAACTGGGGCCAATACATGTAATAGTTATATTCTGCGTAGTTGGGATAAGCAAATTTTTGCAGTAAAGTATAATCAGCTATGTAAGCAGCTAATTATATTTTACTGCAAAATTTCTCTTATATCTGACACAAGATATAACTAATTTATCTCCTGCCATCTATATAATATAACTTTCATGTACTTATTTTATTAATATTATTTAGGATAATATACTTACCTAAACTAAATAGATATATGTCCAGTAGAAATAAGTACATAAAAAAGTTACAAAGATGGGATTAGTTAGGGGATAATTACTTTATCAAGAATAGCATAACTGTTAAGACAAGATCGAGTGAGTGTTATTTATAGAATTGTATTACAAAAATTCATTTTTATATTTTATCTAAGTTTCATAAATTGGATTTTATAAGCAAAATATAAAATACTAAAGTTTGCATATATTAATACTTTTTTTGATTTAGAATATTGTAGCTTGAATCTAATGACGAATATTACATGAATATAGTATACTATAGGTTCAGTTACATTTATGAAAAATTTACATAAAATTACAGTAATTTTACTACTTCAGTTATTCATTGATTAGAATTCAGTATATAAGATGTTAATACAGAGTAATTATATTTCTAACTGATACTATTTGATTTGCTGATTCTGCTAAAAATAACTATATTTTTTAGAGGGGTGTGGTGACTTAGTGAAGTGGATAGGTTGTCAACCTCCAAGTGGCAGGTCTAGAGTTCAAATCCCAGTGATGGTAAAAATTTGCAAT